GAGTGCATATTTTGTGTCCATGAAAAAAACTATCACAGAAAATATTACAATATTAAAGAACTGTTCTTGTTAATTTGATGAAAACATTTCAAATATCCAGTGCACTCACATCAGAATAACTTTTAGATTTGTTCTTAGAATAATCGATTAATCGAAAAAATAATCGTTAGATTAATCAATTAGAAAATAATCCTTTGGTACAGCACTATTGGGGAGTAACAGTAATATTAATTGGCTCACATTTTGCTTATTTTAATATAGAAAATCTCAGTAGGTTTCATTGTTCTCTTATTACAAATTCACCCGCTACTCTTAAAAAAAATATCAGTTCAGCCGCAAAATCACTGGGAAATGTTTTATTATTTTTTTTCAAGCTGTTTTATTTTATGCAGGAAGCCAGCCAGAAGGAAAAAAAAGGTTATTCAAAGGATTTCCTGTAAACTCTTTAATTTTTGAGTAGGAGTTAAATTAAATTCTGAATCATTTTTTTTAAAGATTATGAGGTAACATTTATATAAGTATACAACCAATGTTAATTAAATAACTTATGTATATACTGTATATGTTTATATATAAATCATCTGTCTTTGAAAGAGTTAAACGTGGAAAATTAAAGCAGAACAACCAAACAGCTGATATAGGTTGTTGCTGTAGGAGCAGAGGCCAGCAGGGAGTGTTCATGCCTGAGTGGCTGAGAATTAATGAAGCTGTTTGCGTGGCACACCGACAGTCAAGGGATGCGTTTTCCCTCTCAACATCTACCATAAATGCCAGCTTTCACATATCAAAGCCAAAACAAACATCCACTCATACACTTGGTCATACACAAGATAGAATATCAACTTTGCAAATTACTACAGTCACCACAAATATTTGCTCAGCTATACACTGCACCTAGTATTTCTTCAAATCAACACCATCGTCAAATTTTGTGTTTATTGGCAGACAGGTGCTGATTTCTCCCAAAGATATTGACACAAGCTGTTGTTCCTCTCAGTACAGATACAACAAACATTTTATTTTATGGTCAGCTGAATCCACAGATATAAATTCATCACTGACTGTTTTTTTTTTTTATTTTCTTTTGCCAAGTCATAATTTTGTTATATTTGACAAGTTTTCAAAATCAGGACAGCTATAACTAAAAAAACACTGTTTTTTTTTCTTCAGACAAATAATTATTTCATTTAACAAAATATGACAATAATTGCTTCATTTGAATAAAGATGAATTTCACCACCATTTTAAAATGATATAAAGAAAATCATTCTTAAACACATTAAATTGTGAGCGACAGTAGGCTATTTCGGCTGCAAATTATTTTTCTTACTTGGTAATTGATTACCTATGCACAAGTATTGCTAATAGATGAATTTGAATAAAATTGGTTAGCTGATTAATTGGTAAATCACTAGAGCTAGAAATATATTCAAATTTTAATTACTCTAATTTGGTTAGTTCTATGGTAGAACATATTTGTTAACAGACCCACTTTGTAATTACAGTAACATTTTAAATTTGTCAAAATAGATCAGCAAACAGTCCAAATGAAGCCACAACAAAGTGGGTTGTTTTTGTCTTAAAGTAAACATATGCTTTAAAAATCCTTCTTTTTCACATTTAAATCATTCATTTGAGGTCTTAATAAAGTGGAACTGCAATGATTTGCTCTGAAATCCTCATTGTAACTCCTAAACTGGCTAAAAAGTAGATTTTCCATGATCAATCCTATGGATGCAAACAATTAATCAACTTATGATTAATTGTTGAATAAGGTATAAGATAATAATTAGATCAAAATTTGTTTCATTCAATTAACTAATAATGGTAATAATCTAGAGAACATATGGAGTTTGGTTAGACTTAATTTCCTCTGAGTTAAAAAGAAAAAAATAGCCATAAACATAAGAGACAAGAAGGCACAAAAAAGGAAAGAATTCTAAATGTAAATAAATAAATAATAATAATAATAATA